TCTACCCCGCGTTAAGTGTAAGAATGCGCAAAAGGATTCCAAAGTACGTACACCGGGCGAACGTTTTATTACAGTTTTCATCCGCAGATTAGCCCCTTTGGAACCATCGATACTCGAGAATCGAGATTCCGGCAGTTTATAGCCCCCTCATAAAATCTATTTGGTGTTTCCGACTTGGGCCGACTGGACTCAGGCAAGATTCGAACAAAAACCTTTACGTACCTTGACGTTGGGCGTAGACCCGAAGAATTTCCAAGTATACGCGCTACGTAAAGTCTGTGTTACGCGGTCTCCGGGGTCTCCAATTACGCGCAGGTTGCCGACCGGGTGTCCCTTCCTTTCAGAATTCAATCCTTGAAGATTCCATAGGTTGACGCCGATGCACCCATCTCCGGGCCTCTATCCCACCCATTTTTCCTCCCCGTTATCTTTGACGCCGTGTTTTCACATGCGTTCCGCGAATATCATGACAGTCCCTACTGCCTTTTGTAGTCTCCTCGCGTTCCGAAAAATATGGCAGGGGTATCTGCCTCTCCTCGATGCGGCACAATGGTAGACAGATGCGCTACAAATGTATACTCTCTTTCGTACCTTTTTTTATTTCAAAACTTAATAATTTCTTAACTTGAAAATGTATAAAAAATATTTCAGGATCTATCAAATATATTCATATAATTTAAAAGGTGCGCAACAGTCTTAGGGTGTGCACAATTAATTTTCTTCGCATTTGCTTATCGAGATAAGTGATTTCGTGTTAACACCTTTATCGGCATAAAGCACGACTACGCGCCTCAGAATTTATATTCATTTTTGTTTGTTATGTCGCGGTTTTAAAATGAGCAGCGAGCGGCCTTTGTCGGCACGACGTCGCTGAATACATTTAATCCGCCTCCTTTTCGGCTGTACCTAATGCTCGCTACCTCCGATACACCGCGCGTAATACATAAAACATGTAACATCAAATCGCTATTAATGTTTTCTAAAATACGGCGGGTAAAGGAGTAAAAATCACGTCAAAATCTAGATTACGAAATTTTTATGAGACGCGATGTCGCGCTATTGTAAAAAATCTTTATGTATTCGCGGTATCCGTCTAGATTCTTCTGTCTAGACGTGTGAATAAATATCAATCGATTACTCCTCCACGGTCGTCCTTGACAAATAAGTTTGAGTGGAAACACGACGCAAAAATTTCGACGTATCTGCGCTTTTAATGTCGCTCGCGCGGTACCCATCCCTTCGCGTACCTTTTTCGCTAAAACAATGATACATCGCCGACGGCGAGGTATTATATCGAACCCTCGTATAATCGACACTAGCGGTAATTGGAGCACGGATACGGTTATGCATAGCACGTCCATTAATTCTCCGCAGCGCTCATTTCTCATTCCGTCGGGCGCAATCGTCAGACTCATCCGAGACCTTGCGTTGTTTGTTAACGAAATTATTCGGGCACAGATAGAGCAGAATAGTTAGACAAATAATATAAATATTTATATATTTCTTAATTGGGTGTACTCTTTACATATTTAATTACTTATCTTGATGAATATTTGAAATATATTTCTTCTACATAAAAAAAATAAGATGAGAGACACCTCTCGATACTCTCGATGAAAAAAAGATTACCTTCATTCGCTGGCAATATCGTCTGCGGTTAAAAGTAGAGCGTTCCACGTAATGTCGGGAATTTCTATCGAAATATCCTTTACACATTTTTTCCAATTTTTTTATGTTGCCATATTGTTGTATATTATACATAATAATGATTTATATAAATTTAGTGCTGATTGAAAAACCATTTGACGTAAAACGTCTAATTAAAACTTGCTTCATTGTAGATTTGTTTTCTGATTTTAGAAAAGATATAGAGGAGAGTTCCCTGTTATGAGATAGGCTTCTGGTGTGAGACAGCAGGTTTTCAACATCTCAAATTCAATCACAAATTTATTTCCGCAACGATTACGCGATTGAACAATGAATTTTTCACGAAACAAAAAAATTTTACTCCGAGGACAATAAATTCATGGTGGACCCAATAGATGATGTCTAACTTAATAAATTTGACAGGAAACCCACTGTCTCATGTCGGGATCCTCTCTCATGATAGGGGACTTTCCTCTATAAAGTTTTCATTGTTCCCCTAATGAGCACTAAAATGTACATCAGCAACGCAAAAAAAAATGCGTTTATCTGCGTTTCTTACTCGCCTGTGATTTTTACTACCACTAGCCATCGTGAAATGCGAGGAATTCTTTTAAAACCATCACAATCGCGACAGTCGTGTTTACGGAGCTTTCGTCTCGCCGTCGGCGTAGAAATCATCGGGCTCGAGCCGTGCCGCATAAACCGCGCAAAGTTCTCGGTTCGCCACGACAGACCGACTCGATTGCGTCGAAGTGCCGGGGGTTGGTTTCAGGCAGAGGGAGGAAGGGGACGAAGGGGGACAGGGTGGACTGGGGTCGGACATCGATCTGGTAGTTAACTTCAGTGCCCCCGCGGGACTCGTTGCCACCTTCGTCTGCGCTCGCGGTATGCGTGGATGGGGGATCGGGACCAGGACGGGGGGGGATGATTCGCGTGCTCGGATAAAGCGCATTATGCGTTTTTACGTTTGTGTTTACCGCGGGATCTCTAACGAGAGATCGTTCGCGCCCACCGCGGCAGCGGGCCGTCGCCGGGGAGCGACAAACAATTCGCTAAAGGATATGCTCCCCCGTAATTCCTAAATCGGGATTAGACCGTCCGTGTGAATTGGATAATCTCGGTCCGACCGCTTACAGTCGCGTTCGACTTTCACGACGCGAAGAACGCGATTAACTAACGTATTGACCATCGCGTTCGAATCGATATATTATTTCATATTGTAAAATTATTATTGAGATAACGAACGTGCATTGATTATATGCTTATTCATCTTATTTCGCATTTCTAATTACAATCCGACGATTGTCTAAAGCGGACTCGGCGCTAAACAAATTTATTTACCGTAATTAATATTCCGTTAATTCACTGTCCTCTTATTCTTATTCGCTTCTGAAGCTTTCCCGTATATATGCATGTAAATGTACACGTGCTCTCTAAAAATCAATCAGTGGATTATCACTGAAAACGGTGGATAGTCACTGCAATTTTCAGTGGTACACTTGTAACTGCAAGTCAGTGACTATTCACTGACTTTTAGAGACTGCATATATAAGTAAAAAATTAATTTTGCTTGCCTAAAAAAAGAAATCTTGTTCATTAAGAAATGACTGCCAACACTGTACCCACTCTTCTATCCCAGACAGAGATTCGCACACACGTGTCGCGATGATAACGTACGGAACAATTAGCACACTTCGGCGCTTGGCCATCGTTCGACTTGCACTCGCGAGACCTGTTCGCGCTCGAATTTCACGAGAACAATCGAGTTCACTGTCTCATTTTTCGACGCTCGATTGGATTTGCACAAGTGCGACGTGCGGATAACATAAATAACATAGAATGCGGCACGCGTCGACGATTATATAAATTTCGAAATACACGCTCGACCGCGTCACCGCCGCCTATTAACGAGATCGAGAGGTGCATTTTCACCCCTTTAGAAGCGACCGTAATTTTTGTTACGTGTTTGAGTTTGAGTTTGTAGGAAGCGCCGAAAAGTAGTGCACATTTTTATAAAGATGGAACTCTCTAAAAGTCAATCAGTGGATTATCACTGAAAACAGTGAATAGTCACTGATTTACAGTTACAAGTATACCGCTGCGACTTTCAGTCGTATACTTATAACTGTAAATCAGTGACTATTCACTGTTTTCAGTGATAATCTACCGATTGACTTTCAGAGAGAACAGATTCGCAAAAATGCCGTTCGAAGGTATCCATATATGGCGCGTATATTAAAACTTTTTAGTAATTATCTAAAAACAATTGGAAAATAACGTACTATCTTTTCGCCCGGGACTGTACGTAATGTTCGAGTCCGTAATTTATTCGCCCGCGAAGCGATCGTATTCGATATCAAACGGATGGAGCTATCTCTATGATAATCAGTCGTTTCAGAATCGCGATCGATCGCTTTACTTTTCGATTATTCTACAAATCCTCGATCATCTACTTTAGTCGCCTCCGATTAAATGCGATAGCGATGTCAAGGGACGAGAAAATAAGCGAAACAATATATAATCTTCATAATTCGTTAAGAAATACGAAGAAGACAATCCGGTCGTTTCGGGTTGAAAAATCCGACAATGTATCATGCTAGAGGCTGGTACACATGGGCCATGGCATAATGGCGAATATTTTAGAGGTTCTCGTCGGTGTTTTTTCTCGGTTTCTTATACAGTGTACCCTTCCGGACTTTTCAAAATCGGCCAAACAGTCAATACCGGTCCAACCGTGAAGTAATAAACACATCATCGGGCACGTTCCCGGCATTGTTCTCTGTCCCAATGTCCTCACGTACGGTTGCGGAAGAACTTAAAAACACGTCGCCGACGGAACGACTCGCCAAGTTTTTATAACAGAAACGGCCTTTTTCCAATCGCGAAGGGAAGATTTAGTGCGCCGAGGAAAAAGTAAGTGCGCCTGACGCCACGTGGTCCAGTCTCGAAATCACCGAAATCTTGGACTGGTCGGATTCTCGTCTCCGCAAGATGAATGAGATCCCCCGCATATATCTTGTTTTTACGCGCGCGGTCCACATTGCATTCGTATTTGCATTAAACATGTGGAATCATCGAACAGAGACATGTGTCGAAAAGCGATTAATCCAAAGCGACCGCTCGAATCGATCGAAACAGTTTCTAGATATTAATAATATTCGGATAACTGATAAAACGGATTCGTGTCCGCCATGATGGTGAACGTGGTCGCACCGATGTTAGCGACGACTGATATAGGCTTAGTGAGTTCCGGTCCATTGCTGTACAAATATGGGAAAATAGGATTGGAGCAACGGCCGCTCGGTCAAACAATATCGCGCGACGGGAAGAAGCAGCAATGATGAGCGAATAGTGAGTCAATTCTTTTTTATTATAAAGCAACGTAGCGACTGTATAAAATTGTGTATGTTTAAATGATAGATTATTCGTCAATAGGCGAGTAAAAGATATATAATTTATTAAGAATTGACAAAGAGATGGCTCGGACAATTGAAAATTTTACTTAGTTTCTTTGCGCGAATATATGCGGCTATTTACAAAAAGGAAATTATATTATTACAATACATGCTATTATTATTATAAAATACTGTACAGAAACGTTATTATTATTATAAAATACTGTACAGAAGCGTTATTATTATTATTATAAAATACTGTACAGAAACGAATCACATCTCTATAAATATTACGTTAACAATATCACTTTGTATTTAAAGAATGAATTAAAAATGCAGGATCTCTCGTCCACGAAAGCGGCGTTTACTATAACAATATAATCCAAAAAAAGACTGGACAGTTTTTGGATTGCAATAGAAAAACATTCTTATAGATAAAAGAGGATTATAACAGATAAGATTTATTCCTAACTATTATATCGGAGATTTAAATATTACATCGTTACTTTTCTCATGTTATAAAACAATGAACGATGTCGTCTACTAATTTTAAAAATTATGGAGATAGCGTCCCGTCGATGCGATCACCATTTTCTTCGTGTAAATATTCGCTATAAGAAATATACGAAAAGTCTAGGGAAAATATAGACTTCGCGGACGTTATCGTAATATTTCAAGCAACACTTGCTCTGCTATTAACAAATGTAACATTATATTGTGCCATTTCTAGTAAAGTATCGAATTAGAAATGATTATCCTCATATCGACATTATCCAGTATTCGATCTACATTTTACCTTAAGGCACGTATCCCTTTTAATTTCATAACTTATGACTTCATTTTGTTTGCACCACGTTTATATACAAATGCATGTATTTATAATATACTATATTAACAGAAAGGTCTGCGCTATTTACGTACGTAAGCGGTTCCGACTTGATCTCTTTCGCAAAATCGTATCTCGATTTTACGCAATTTTCAGTTTTTCCTGTTCAAACGCTTATTTAGGACCAGAACGAGCGTTTGAACAGAAAAACCGGAAATTGTGTAAAGTCGAGATACGACCTTACAAAAGAGATCAGTCATGTTTCAATTGCCGCTATTTTCTCCATCTCATTGTAATCGTCTGATTATGAATACTCACTTATTGGCTTTTTCGCGATGATAAGAGAAAAGACGATAAGAGAAAAGACGCTCCAATGGACCGACACGATGGATTTTCTTACCGATTTGTTAGGAAGGACAATTAGATTGAAGAAACAATGAAAAAGAAAAAGGCGCGCGTCGTAACGGACATGAAAGTATGTGCTTTCCGCACGCGCGGATAATGTCGATACAGACAACTAACGATTAATCACAACAAACGGAAGAAAGAGTAATTTGTGTAATGTCATGCGCACTTTTCGTCTACACCTAATACGTTCCATCGTCACGTGTACACCTTACCAGTGTGCATCGTACGTTTACGAGCGCCGTAAATTAAGTTGACTAGTGACATTACGAGCGATATCCAAAATTTTCAACCGTCCAACGTTCAATTTCAATCTCTCTTTGTTTGGAATTGAATCTGGTCCGAGTTCAATTATCTCTTCAGCTACGAATGCTGTGCGCGCACCTTTATTATTTATATATTAAACACAATATACATTTAATGTATATTCATATATGTATATAATAGGCGCGCGTGTGTGTAGATGTGACAGAGGAATTGAAACAGTTGCGGTAAAGGCAAAGTGAAATTTACGACGCTTCTCGCGGTTAATTTACGACGTCGTTTTGTGCCGATGGAGATAATAAATCCGTGCAATATGCCATAATTGCGGGATAATTTTCTTTGTAAATTACTTAAGAAAAAAAGCACTTTTGCATGCCGTGAAAAGAGTTAATATATATTTGTTTGGATAACTCGATTATTTTCGGATACTATCCCTATCTTAAAGCTAGCGTCAAGACTACACGCGCGTACCTCTCTAATTTCGCGCAGACGGTCGAATCTCTATTATCGAGATAGTCAAACAAATTCTCTATTTTTAACTCTTCCCCTCAAATTCCTCCTAATATCCAGGTACAATTACGAAACACGATCGTGTAATAGGCTGCATGAATATCTAGATACACACGATGCGAGCGTACATTTAGATTCCATTCGGAATTGCCAAGTGCGAAGGCATCCATGCAGTCCGCATTCGACATTCGCTTCCGGCGTGGACTCTTGCGGAATTAACGGTGTGCCGAATGCAGAACGTAAAATATCGAAGCACGACCGTCATATTAACGGGAAACGCTGTGGACGTGTGAACCCGACGAGATTAGCGTGAGATCAGAGCGTTTTCTCTTTCTCCACGATATCTGCAATCCACGAACGATCCGTTTAATAACGGTCGCTTATCACAGGCCGTTGTGTATCATGTGCGAGCTACACTTAATTACCTTACGCCTCCTAATTATTTTACGCGGTGTCCAGTTTGCTTGTCCGTTCGCGAACCCTTTGTACGTTGTGTCCGTGGTGGCGAGACGGCGAATGAACGCGCCACCATCCCATCGCCCCACCTCGTGAACCGTTCGAATTCCCGAGGAGTCCTCGACAAGGGAATACCCTTTACATTGGATTAGAGGGGCCCGGATATTGCATAGGCAGTGTCGTGGGCAGCGACCCGGGCTGCGACGTAGGTTGCGACGTGGGCAGAGATGCAGGTAACGCGGGCAGAGACGTCGACGTCGTCGACGTTGCTGGATGCGGTGCGGAGGAGGTGCTCTCGTTGGCCTGCATCAGACCGCCCAGCATCCCACCCATCTCCGCGCCGGCGGCGGCAAAACCCATGATTCCTCCAGCCATCGCCTCCATCGTGGCGGAGGCCGCCACAACGTCCTGCGCTCTCATCTGCCGCTCTCTCGATTGCTCCTGCTGCTTCTTCAGCAGCTTCCGCTCCTTCGCCCGTCGGTTTTGAAACCAGATCTTTATCTGCAAGAAAGAAGAGAGAGAGATGGTTACGTTAGGCGACTCGTTCCGCCGTGATAATTCGGGAATTTTCACCGATCGAAATGAGCAATGATTTACCTGACGCTCCGTGAGACCGAGCTGCGTCGCGAGGTCCGACTTGCGTTTGATAGTGGTATAGTGATTCATGTGAAATTCTTTCTCGAGTTCTAGTCTTTGATAGTCCGTGTAGACCACTCGGTATTTGTCTTTTGTGCGAGTCTTCCCTGAAAAAGACGCAGATAACGGCCGGTGTTATTACGCGGTTAATATCTATCGTGCTGATTCTCTTGTCAATAATGCGTTAAAGAGATAACGTTTTCAGCGAGCGCGTATACCGCGTGGCGACACTAACAAAGTAAAGGATGTTTCGTAATTAATTTTACGTAGAACGAAGAAATGTGGAGGCGCAATTTGCTTTAGCCATTTCGCAAGACGATCTATGCCTAAATAATCACCTGCCAATTCTAAGTGCAAATAACAAATATATCACGTCCAATACAGTAGGTTAAAATGAAACAAAGGTGGGGGAAATAAAATGGTAGGAACAGCTATGTAAATTTTTGTCCAAGAATGTTCTGATTGCAATTCGTTTCGTTTAAGATTTCGTCCAAACGCGTATTGTAATAAAAATTATTCTATTAGCTACAAGTAACATTAACTGTTAAAATAATATTCGCCGTGTAAAAAATAAAACACTTTACATTTAGCACAAATTTAATCCAATAATGATATTTACAATAATTACATTTAATACAAATAAAGTTGCAAGAAAGAGAGTTTAAAATAGAGAACAGCCGCGTTTACAATTTAGTAATTATTTCTTACAATGAAGGAAATTGATTATCTTAGAGTGCCAAACGCTTATTAGGTTACAAAAACAAAATATTAGAAAAGGATGACAATTGAGGAAGATAAATTGCACATCATATATAATCCTGCCTTTGAAACTATTACAATCATGCTCTAAGCACATAAAAGTTATGAGAAGACGTGGACAGGGAATAAAGAAGATGATCGTTAACTTCTAATGCGGATTAATTTATACTTTACGGTAATTATAATTATTATAAGTAAAGAGCTTACACACATACAGATACATATGCAAAATTACGGTAGCTCGAAGCAACAGCATTCGCGGAACGACAGATGCATTTATTTATTTGCAATAAATAACGCGAAGCACGATTAATTCTTATGGGAGAAAACGACACGCCAGAAAGCGGCAAAAAAGAAGAGGTGCGTTGGCAATCGCACGGTGTGAATGCGTTTCTTACGACGTGGTGTCTTGGCGGTAACATACGCACAAAACACAGGAGAGAGACAGAGAGAGAGAGAGAGAGAGAGAGAGAGAGAGAGAGAGAGAGAGAGAGAGAGAGAGAGAGGCGCGGGAAACACGAATATGAGTGTATACGTGCATGTGGGAACGGCAAGAGATGGCTCAAGAGAGAGGGACACGATTAGATAAGACTCCGCCGGCGAGATCAAAGGCGTGCACGTTAATCCACCACTCCTCGATAAGGGAACTCCGAGGCCTTCGCAGCGTTACGAATAAGCAAGCGACCTTAGACTTTTCGCCGGTACACAGAATGGCTACAGTCTGAGCCAGCATGGCTGATATCGGGTCAGCAGGATATCCTCGTGGCAAGGATGCGCAGCAAGGATGGCGAGAATAAATAATGCAGTCAAAGGAATCCATAGAAGCCGGATGCTTCAATGAAAGGAATTCATAGAATCGTATTGACATCCATTCCCATCTGATATCTGGTAATCTGAGAGATTACTTTGTTTCTCTTTTTGAATTTTCTTTGTATATACAATATATGTATATATTTTTTTTAAATTGATGCGATTGATTGCGAAATTTTACCATCTTGATGAACAAAGGGAGATAAACTGCCAATTTACAAAATAAATGTTTCATTAATTTGTTTTATCTAATTAATTGTCTGATTGAGGATTCCGTGAAATGCGAACTTTTACGAAAACATCATGTCGGTCAGAGATTTACAAAGCAAGAAAGAAACCTTTCATAAAGTCCCCCTTACATTTTCTAAGCATAAAATAATCATATATTTCAAATATATATATAAACGCATTTTAAGAAAACATGGATTCTAAATCGAAACTTATACACGCGATTTAAAATATGAACTTTACATATCTCTACATATGTCTTTTTATAAGTCCCTTACGAAAGATTTATCTTATTTGTAAGACGTCTTTCTTATATACGATTGTGTAAAAAAAATTCATGTAAAGTGATGTGAGAATTTGTGAAGAATTAGGCGATACGTTCGCGTTTAAGCGATATATGTACACGTCGACGCATGCGGTGCGCGTTCGCGGTTAAATCCGTGTAATCTGTTCAAATAACGCGGCAATATATTACGGACTGTCTGGTTTTGAGTTTTCATCTACTCAGAATGAGATTGAGAGATCGTTATCGCGGCCACTTCCAGCTCTCCGTATCTATGATAATGCTTGAATCACGTCTTTCTACACATCCCGTGTGAGAGATGTGCTGTATAATAAATCGACATGTTCACCACTGTATCTTATCCGCTACCGAGATTTTCGATCAGCTGGTTTCCAACTTCGATCCCGAAATGTAAGCTGCGACGAACGTCAGACCTCATTCGCGCACTTATATCAAAGTGCAATGGAAATAATACACGTAAAAGAGGCATAAGTCAACTTCCATACGATTATATTTTTAGAACTCGTGCTGTTTCTTTTTTAAGAAAAGTATCGTGTCCAATTTGAAGATATTAACTAAGCGCACCTGCCAACTACATCCAATCCGTAATGATTTTGGAGAGAGAAAAATCTAAGAACAAATAACTTCCTCTGTTCGACAAAAAACAAAATGTTGTCACTTAGAATAGATTCATTTTACGCGATGATCAATTACTTTTGTGGCTGCGTAATACTTAGTTTAAATCTCTGTTATATCAATAAAGTGTTACACCAGATAAACGAGGAATAAATATTAGACAGCGTTCGCCATGGTTTTTGTCAATATGATATCACGTAATGTAGCTCGGATTTTTTTCTTTCTCCCGCTTTTTTTTTCTGTTACGTTGCACGCATTGTTAGACGTGCAAATATTTGACGCGTTAAGAGCAAACGTCGCGCAGCCTGATGCACGTAAACAAACACACATGAAACATCCTTAAACCTTATCAAAAGGCAGACTCTTTATCTTTGGAGATTGTAATCGAATCAAAAAAAAAATTCCAAACTGTATGCGGTACTGGCCTTAATTGCGATAGATTTCTCGTGCGACAGGCACACTCGCCGTGTTACACTCGCAAAGATAATTTCGCGATTCCCAATCAATTTTTATCGCGAGGCGAAAGAAGTTACACCACTCACGTATAATAAAAATTGAACTGAAGAAATCAGCTGTTCAGAGGTAAATATTAACAGCAAGCTGTCGTAAGAAATAGCAAATTAAACTTCATCGCTATGCAATTTCAGTTGCGATGATGTAAAAAATTAATATCGTCTTGTATAATTTTATCAACTAATTTTTAATCAAAGCTGTATTCACATAGCATATTAGCCGTGGCAGTGAAAAAGACGAATGATTAATATTTAATTAAAGATGAGTAATATTGAATGTAAAATTGAATTAAAACATTTTAATATCGTAATACAACAAAAAACTGATAAAAATCACTATTCATTTAGTGGCAAATATGAAAGCAAACTAAATTCGTACGAAGTAGCAAATTCAATTTCGTCATTGTGCAGTTCTTGTATTGATAATTTGAATAAGTGATAGCATTGTTTCTTAAATTTTACCATCAAAGGTATAAATGTAACAATTAACTATAAAAAGGAGAAAATAATAGTAAAGTCGAATTAAAATATATTAATATCAATGGTGAATGATTTGGCTCTCTCTCGCTGTAGTAAAACTCGACACGAAGGGGAAGATTTAAGAAATCGACGTTTCTAGTCCCTGGAACTTTTTCACGGTTAACGGAGCAACTTTGTGCGAGTTGAACTTTTTACATTCGGAGACGTCCGTCGGCAAGTCTCGGATGGTTTGCGTTGTTCGAGAGGGCAAGTCGTCGATTTTTTTTATTCGCCTCACGCACAGACCACATAAGCGTATGAGTTAGGGAAGGATTACCGTCGGCGTTTTTCATCTTGCCGATATCGCACCTACGGTCCCGCCTATCCGGCCCCGGCAACGCGTCGATGTACCAGATGCTCTCAATAGCTCTCAAAATTATGTAGGAAAGTCCCTTATTGTGTGAGATAGGTTTCTAAATATGAAATAGCAGGTTTTCAACATCCAAATTCAATCACGACCTTTCTTCGCGGCGATTACACAATCTAACAATGAATTTTCCACTAAACAAGCTCTCTCACTCCAAGGACAATAAATTCATGACGTCTATTAATTTAGCAGAAACTCCGCTATCTCATGTTAGGAGCCTATCTCATAGCAGGAGACCTTCCTCTATTTTAACCCGGAAAGAAGGACAGCAATCGACATAATTTTAACCGAGCCTACATTCTGAAATCAGCAATTAACATTCCTCGTCATTCAATCTCGAATCTAACGCGACGTCGGCTATTGCTCGCTAAAGTTCATCGCCGCGAGCGGAGCGTCGGGACGATTTCTTAAAATGTATCTAGCTCGTTGGTCCCGTCATTGTCTATACTTTCGAACGAACGAAATCCACCGGAGCTATTTCTCCCGAGTATCCGTGCGCGAAATACGAACGAGCGCGACGAGCGGCGAGAGGGAGAGAGCGAGAGGAAACGCGACGGATTTGACGAAGGCTACGAGACGCGGGAGGACAGAGAGACGCGGGGGAGAAAGACGCGAGCGAAGGGGACGAAGAAACGATGCTCCTGGGACTCGTTGCCACCCCATTATAGCGTTTGCTCTTCCATTTCACGCCGCGGAATGGCAAAAGCGCGTGCCCCGCTTTTCCTGCGGGCGTTTGACAACCCCCGACGATATCTCGCGTCGGCCTAGCCGGAGCCGCGCGCCGACTCGCGCGGGTGCCATTCGTCAGCGGCGTCACAATTACCTCTATTGTGCCACCTCGCATTTGTATATCGCATATCAAGTGCCTGCGAACGAAGAGAGACGGAGAGAGAACGAGAGGGACGGAGCTAGACATTTTTTTACCGCGCACTGGTAGCAGTTTATGTTGCGATGTAACTGCACGACTATTTGTTTCTTTTCAGCATTTGAAAATTCTTTTCACTCGTTCTTTCTTTTTAATATTTAATATAACTCGTTAATATTTTTGCAATGCCCAAAATGTTGCCATATAGATAATATGTACAAATATATATTATAACGTCGTAGAATTATAATCACGTTTGACGAATTTAATTTAGTTATAATTTTATTTATAAAAGTTTTTGAAATTCTACTTTAAATTATATCGTATCTTGGTGAACATGGATAAGATGTACGACGCAGAGACTAAAGAGAAAAACTATTGAGGATTAAGAAAGAATAAAAAGTTTAACAATGCGTGCTAATTGGTGGGAAAAAAGCAACAAGTATATGCGATAAATAGATTAACATCTATTTCTCCTACGCTCCTGTACTCAGTGACGAATCGCAATAAACGTGTACTGGCAGACAAAAGATTAGAAACTGTAGAAAATTTCGTATACCTGCGTAATCTGCGGAACACGTGGGCCAAACGAAACTCAACAGTTTCCAGACATGATTGATGCGTCGTCTCGTAACATTTCAACTCTACGGCGAACGATGACAAGAAGAATATTATCGTAAAATGATTAAAACTATTACCTAACCCTGGACACTTAGCCGACACACCTGATCATAGAACTATACAACAATAAAATTAAGTGTCGAAGCTATTTGCCAAAAGATTTCTGTAAAGCCCCAAATTTCTCAATGGTCGCATTCCATTCTGTCCCGATCAAAACTGACCCAGTCTCGAGTTGAATTTTTCATCGAATAGCCAGCGGAGCAGCCTCGTGAATGAGCGTTGAAATTTTCTTGCGTGTCGTCAACACTTACTTTGCGTCCACTGCAACCCGGCTCGAGACCGACCTCAGGACCCCAATAATAAATCGTTTAACTTCTTTTAACGCGACGGGAAAATGTCTGATGGCGTGCTGCGAGTCGAATGCCGAACCGAAACTCTAGTGATTCACAAGTTCTTGCTGTGGATCGGCTGACGCCAAGGTTTAACAAAAATTGATCTTTCGAAACTGCTGTCAAAACACTCGACCATAATGAAGAGTTTTAGTTACGGACACACAGTAGGTGGACTCCCTTTTCCAGATTCGTAACAAGATTTCACGTTAAATCCTCCTCTAAAGAAGACGTTCACAGGATTAGAGTTCACAGGATGAATGACGAAGAGAATGCGAAACTTGAAGAAGAAAGGACCTTAGGTTTTGACAAGATGCGAAACATGGTACACAAATAAAGGGCTGATTATTTTACTTTGAAATGATTACTTTCCATAATTATGGATAGGAATAAAGACCGATGTCTTTAGCTGAGCGATATTGAATCTTTGCTCTTTGTTGTTCACCCATAATCGTGGGTTCACCCATTATCGCCGATAAGGGGATCGTGGCCGGACGAAGGCGTCATAAAAGCAGTAGAAATCGCGTGCTCGCGGAGGCTCGCTCTCACGGAACGGAACGGAACGGAACCGAACGGCGGCGGCGATTCGCGATGCGCGAACGAGAAAGCGTATGCACGAGGCCGTCCCTCACGAAATTGTAATGCACGCCTCGCGTTTTTGTGTCGTTGTGGTGAGAGGCTCTGCCACGCGGCTTCTGCCCGCAATATAGCCATAAAACGCAGATAATTGCCGCTGGAAGGTACGGGACGCTCGTTTCAAGGTACTTAACGTGCGTACTTGCTGCACGCGCGTGAGGTAAAATGCAAATAGGAGAACAGAAGGGGAGACGGCGACGAAGGTGAAGAATTGGGATGAATTCTGCGAAGCGCCTGATGGCGAAGTGCATCGGGCGAAGAATGACTTGGGATTTGGGGCAAAGCGGTCTGAATGTATTAGCATGTTAATCCCGAGAGCGGTTAAAGATTGACCGACACAAGGAGAACAGAGAGAAACTGACATTATCCTCACTTTTCCGTTCTCCTTCGTCCACGAGGGCACACCCGTGGCTCTGAGCTTTCATTTAGAAAAGGACATCCCATGTTGACAAATTCAAAATGCACCTTTCGACACGCTGTTCACGTTTTCGCCTACTTTTATACCTGACTCGAAGGCTACTGCAAGAAACTGACACGAGCGAATTTTTGGACAAAAAGTTATCAGATTATCGTTACTTTAAGTGTGAACGCGTGGTAAAAAAAATGGCGTAAAGATGAATAGGTATTAAGGTCTCGATAAAATGTAGGCAGAAACACGTTCCTTGTGAAGGAGCACGTCGAGCAGGCGACCATTTTTTTGCTTATCCCAACCAAGTCTTTTTCTCCGTGCACGGACATTGCCGGTTTTTTCGGAATCTTCCGAAGGGAAGTGGCAACCCCCGAGAGAGTATCCTGCCACGCAATACCCTTTTAGGGGTACAGCTCTCCAGATTGGAGGTTTCCTTCGGCAAGGTTCAGCAGCCCACTCTGAGGATGAAGTAAAAAAATGCTCAAAGTACCAGAACGAACTGAATAAAAGAGGCTTTAAGCCTAATACCCGAGGACGAAGAAGATAATCTTTATTATCATCTGTTACATCGGTGAGTTTCAGGCTGTAGTTGACACAGTTTCTATAGAAGTCTGTGGTAGTACGTACAGCCAAAAACTCAGCGATTTGTACAGATGAGAAAAATGATGATAAAATGCAGGTCCAGGCATTAATGAATAAGACTGTACACCAAAAATTGATTTTAGAAATCTACAGGTTCTCTAAGGTCTTTTAAGCCAGCGGCCCACGAGGCTTTTTCGCTTGCTGGTTTGCTTGCGCGCACCTTTACTAACTGGTGAGAGCCAATCAGGATGCAATCTTAGCTCATCTGACCTATCACGTGGAATCCCGATTGGCTCTCACTAGCCAGCAAAGGTGCACGCACGCGAATCAGCAAGCAAGAAAGCATCGTGTGTCGCTTTACTCTTGATCGTTTTGCGTCATTTTCCTTGGACGTTTGCGAACCGACGTGTAACTTCAATGAAACGTTTCTACCAAAGAACAATCGGAAGCTGCATGCACAATCGAGGTACAATGCATGCAAACATCAAAGATAATACGGCATACACGACAATCAATTAATTGTGATTCGTACCGAGAATTTCAAGCCGGCAACAGAGTTCGTTAATTGGCGACGTTGAATCCGCGCCGCCGACAGTCTCGGCGTTGCATGCTGCAACAGTGGAAAGAACATCTCTTTCGTTAAAATGCTGTCTCTCCAGCATTTCTGTAAATCTGCATTTATATCAATAAATGAAGGAAATTGACCGGATTTCGCGCGGCTCGTGTGTTACGATCCCGCGAAACGTAGCGAGAGTTAATTCTTCCTCGTCGCGCGTGTTGATTCAGGACGCGTTCCGTGCGAACGGATGGGACTTTCATTCGAATCCGGTGAAAAATCGAGGTGGACGACGGCGAGAAAGAATGGGAAGGAAGGAGATTATCTCACAAATATTTGAGAGCAATTAGATGTTTGCTCGTCCGTTACCGTGTTTACATGGTTCGCCGTATCTAGACCGCTGGAGACGTGTTTATGACCGCGCGCGATATGCACGAAAGAAGTGCTCGTTAGGTGCGTAACTTCGTCACGTGGCTTTGTAATCCGATTTCTTAATCGAGCTCTTGAAACGGAGGATTAACTGTTCATGGGCAAAGCTCGGCCACGCGAGTCGTTTGCACGAGGCTCGCAATCGCGATTTGGAGAATCGCTATCTCAGCACTAAATTTCGTAGACACTCTAACAAAAGTTTTATTGATACAAATCTGCAGTATATACTGTCCAAGTAAATATTTTTTCAGAAAATACAAATATATGTGAAATATCGAACCAATTTTTCGTTTAAATTGTTTCGACGATATTTGTTCAATTTTCTCAATTCAGAATTACGGCAAAATAAATAATGCTAAAACGTGATTTGTTGAAAGAACCGCATCTGACAAATTATATTTGAAAATTTCTAATATACGTATATTTCATGAGTCTTTAGGATTTTGTGTTACGTTAATAGATATTCATTATATGTTCCTAATACTTATCTTTAATAAAAATTTATGCGATTTAAGGCCGTAAGAGATCTGTATTCTTTTCGCGTTAAAAAATAAATAACAATGCCATGGTGAGAAAGAAAGAAGAGTTTATGTTATACATTCGATATCTAATAATGTTTAATTAATTTCGCAATATGAGAACAAATAATTACATTCTCGATTATTTATTTCGTTTAATTTTATCAATAAAATTACCAGTATACAGGTAGTTTAATTAATAATATTAATTGTAACCTAAAAAGAATATATTTATATGATATCTTTATCATTTCATATGAAAAGCAAAATACGTACACTGATGAAGTTTGATCAGATATTTTAGAAATATTCTGTACATCCTAAAATAATTGTTTTCACCTCTCAAGTTAAATCGTTTAATTGTGATCTACAATAATTTTCACGTAAACGTTACACTTCGTCAATTGCAAGATAAGATAAAAATAAAGTGGAACCACGAAAAGAGAAGTGATAAACCGAGGTATAAAATGATTCCGACGGCGTGCGCTGTATTCATTATTCACGTTGTTAAAATTTATTTTTACCAAATCAAGATCATTGCAATTTCACGAAGTAAAAGAGAAAAGGAGAAAAACAGCCTTCAATACATACAACGTAAATTATAATATGTAATCTATCGAGTTTTGATGGATAACAGATATTTCCGATATCTATCAATTATGCTGTGAAATGAATCAAATCGATATTAATCAAATTTAATATTATTTTCGATGAATTTTAGCGAACCTGCTTGAAAGAGATATTGAAAAAGTACTCTTCACTTTTATTTTACGCTACAAATTTTGTTATAATTTAAAAAACTTTTTATAGTAAGTGAATTTCTTTCTTTTAGCATAGATGAGAATTTTATATCAAATATAATATTTATAACAAAAATTTTATATATGTAGCACGTTGATTTTTTGCTAAGAAAATATTTGCTAAGAAATAAAACACAATTTTTTTCTCTAGTCCATCTTTTTCCGCTGCTTCAACAATTTTGCTTCTTTTAAATGTTTACTGTCAACAATTATTCTTGCGTACAAAAGAAGAAAAATAGGAGGTGAAAATACTATTGTATGTAGCGAGTGTATTCTTTCAGCGTTTGAAATTATTATCATTTGTTATTCGTGTATGATTTTGCAAATTAAGATTAACTTTTAAATACTTTTATGTTTCGTTTTTAATTTCTCGAAAGCAAGTTCAAAGAAGACTTAGTGATGGTAAGGTGAAGTTTCACTAACCTGGTTTAGGTTGGCTTTGGTACGACGGCCTCTTCATCCACTCGTACGGACTCCTTCTCCCCTGGATCCTATGGGAGGTGTACAATTGATGCCGTCTTGTGGACATGTCTCTTGATGTGGACGGCATATCTCTGGACGGTATGTCTCTCGATGTAGACGGCATGTCTCTCGATGTGGACGGCAGGTTCATGCCTGCCGGTAGCAGGTTTACGTTGCCGGATGTGGACGACAGGTTCATGTTGCGAGACGTACAAGGCAAGTCATCGTATGGCATGTGGAAATTGGTTGGCGTTGTGGGCGAAGTGCTATTGTTGCTGTTGTGACTGCTACCGTTCATGCTACCGTTCAGGCTGCCGTTCATACTGCCGTTCACGTTGCCGTCTACGTTGCCGTTCATCCTTGCGGTCGCTGACGGATGTTGATTACGGAGCGCCATATCGATGTTCATGTTTCTGATGCCCCATTTCAACATCCGTCGCCTGTAGGAAATTTCATAGTCCTGTTCCCTCGATGGCACTTGGGACTGGAGATATTGCGGCGGCGAATTCTGCTGGAAGAACTGCGGCGGCGAGTTCTCCTGAAGATGGTGGTGCTTCGGCAACGATCGTTGCTGGATGCGTTGCTGCGGCAACGGATTCGGCTGGGTGTGCTGCGGCGGGGAATTTTGCTGCAGCTGTTGCGGCGACGAAGCGGTCAGCTGCTGACTGTGCTGCTGACACAGCTGAGGCGGCGAGCTTTGCTGCAGGTGTTGATGAGGTGACGGATGCTGTTGGCAGAGCTGTTGGGGCGGCGAGTTGTGTTGGAGGTGTTGCTGCGGAGACGGGTGCTGATAGAGTTGCTCGGGCGGTGAGCTCTGTTGCAGATGTGACTGCGACAAGTGTTGCTGGATGCGCTGTTCAGACGGTGAATGTTGCTCCAGTTCTTGCGTGTGATGTTGTTGCGACTGCGATTGCGTTTGAAAGTGTAGGTGCTGCGGCTGATACTGATGTAGGTACGGCGAGTACTGGGTCGTGTAGTGCCATCCTGATATCATTTCCGGGTTGAAGAACTGCGGGGGAATCGGGCTCGGCTGATGCTGAGGATGCAACGCCGGTGTCGCGGGTATCGCTCTGGACGGATATCCGTACCAATACTGGGTCCCCTCAATGGCGGCGGGAGCCGCAACCGCAACCGCGGTGTGCGGCTGGACCTGTTGCGTCGATGCTTGCTGATGTGCTTGCTGCATTATCAGTTGATGTTGCTGCTGGTTGTCAGCGACCTGTTGCTGCTGTTGGCGATACGCGAGGCTCGTTTGATTATAATGCGGCACCATATTGGCGATGTTGCTGAGGTTCGATATAGCGTTCGAAGATTCTCCAGAGATGATGTCGTCACGAAACGATGGCATGTCGGTCTCCTGCGAACTTGAACTTGGCCTGGCACAAATATAAACGTCTGTTTCTCATGCACTACTAATTGGAGTCACCAAAAAAATGGAGGATTAACGTTTGTCATTCACGATTCACACTTAGCCGATACACAAACGACGAAAATCCGGCGCACATGAAAACGTACGTACGTTATTTCTGGTGCCCGACAAACGCGTTTTGTCCGATATCGATATTGAACTGGCACCGTAACTCCGACGTTTACAAGCCGAGGAGTAAATCCAACAGACACGGCTTGGTGGGGATCCGCTGGTAGGCTCCGCCCCTACCGAGCGGCATCGAACGACCAATCTACATCCGGCACCCAACATAATGGTGTCCAACGAGAACGTCGCCGAACAGTAGGACTGTCGCCCGCCTACAAAAAGAGAACTGGAGAAAGAGTGGGAAGCGGTTCTCTTGTAGCTCCACCTTCTCGATAAGGCACGCTGTTGCTAGCTTTAAACATTTTTCAGCAAGTTGACCGGTTGCTCTCCTCGTGTCGACTCCATTACGAAGATACGACTAGACCTTATTACTAATCCTCCAATGGCGAAAATTAATTCCTACTTGTTCATTACATTTTAATTTGTTTATTCCAAAGTGTGATGTCCAGAGATGTCCGAAGAATATTCTGATTTAATTGTGCATTTATTTACAGTTTAGATAAAAAGAAAAGTTGCAATTAAATTTGATAACCTGGAATTTTAGGATATTAAAATTTGCGGCCTTCTAAACACAGGTGGTGACGATTACGATGGTATCGATTAAGTAACCCAATTTTCCTCCGATGACGCGCATGTAATTATTTTCACACGCGCCGTCTAATGAACAAAATGTTTCTTACTTTCTTCACGCTTTCTTTTTCTCAGGTAGCTGCCTACGAGAGATTTTTAAAAAGTGATAGGAAAATTTGCATCTTAATATTAATTATTTAGTTTTATTTTTCTAGTGAAAACGAGTTAGCAGAACAAAAGCTGTAATATTCTTAAACCCTTGATTAGCATACGATGAAAAAATTTCTTATTCGCGTCCGCAACATGCTTTTCTTTTTAGCATAATATAATTTATTTTATAGTACAGTAATATTATAAAAATGTAATTTTCTTTCTGAAATAAGGTACTTCTGATTGTTATTTTAAAGTTAATACTTCATTATTAATAAAATATTTAGTATTCCTACATTATGTTTTTATAATATATCAATTTTTTGAAGAACTCTTATTAGAGAAATGATAAGTTGATATCAGAATGGCACATAAATCACGGCACGGTATACGCATCATATATCTACAATATCCACACTATTTACAATATTAATCGGTGCATTTGCGTAATATATTATTTTACTGCGTGGTCGTAACAAAATCATATACCAATTCTGGGATGTATAACACTTATAAACTGTACGAGAAGTCCATAAATCATTTCGCCGCTTAGATGATTTAGAACCGAAAACTCAAGTTTATCGCGGCTGCGATTAAGATCGATAATCATTGTTTATTGCGTTTACTTAAGTTGAAGTGGGAACGCTATGTGTTTAATAAGAGATGAGTGTGTAACAAACTACTTATACTGAATGATGCTGATAAGTCAATGACTTTCTTACTTTGCTCTTAACGCACAACGTCGATAATCTTGAGTTTTTCATTTTATAAGAAAGTCTTACGTACTTTTTAATTAACGAACTAGTTGTAATTTTAGGACGACGTAATTATCTATTCCAACGAAGCCACATACTTGAAAGTCTACTGCGTGCTATTGCGCGATGAATTTAAGTCGCTCATACACTTTTCAAATTGATTGCATATGTATATCTATATATATGTATGTGCATATCATAATTATTATATATAGTATATCTATATTCATGTAAAGAATTTTATCAAAAAATCGGCCAAATTTGATGAAATTCTTGTATGTTTGCCTTCTACTCTTTTAATCTTTCTAAAAAAATTTTTCCATTTATTCCGATGTATTGGAAATGTTAAATTTTATTTGATTGCCAAAAGATGCTTGCATGTTAACAAGATATATTTTAGACATGATTTTATATTATTCTAAAGTTATTTGCTCTGCTAGACATTAATTAATTATTTTACAATTATCTCATAAAAAAACGAAACAAAATATTATTGCGTTTGCTTATATAATTAAATGTATTAAAAATTAGTAAAAAATTTTGTATAAGTACATAATTATATAATATTTATAATTAACATGTATAAAAGATATAACATACGTTTCGCCTGTATTTTAACTTTATGATTAATCCTACGTTTAAAAAAGAGATTGCGAGCGCAAATAAGTTTTGCATTTAAATCGCGGCTGCGATTAAGATCGATAATCATTGTTTATTGCGTTTACTTAAGTTGAAGTGGAAACGCTATGTGTTTAATAAGAGTTCTATTTCGACAAATATTTTGCATTTGTCTGACTTAAAAATTTGGTCTCATTTTTATATTGCAGTGTGTTTTACGGGTAGTGAGAGATCTACCAGTGAAAATTAATATTAAATTGAAATGGAATCAAAGTAGAAATTAAAATAAAATGTACTTTGAAAGGGTTGAGAAAATCTCAATAAATGGTCTAGACCTTATTATATGCAGCCACTGGAAGTCCTATTGTAAGTCTTTTGTTATGGATGATTTTTGTTCTTTGTTGCTGACATGTATTATTCTTATAATAGGTAAGCGTAAAAAAGAGGTCAAAATTATGACTACATTCTATTGTAACTTTCATTTCAGGTTCGCCTTTTTTAGGAAAAAGCGATCCCGCATAACTCAGTCAGAGAGCAGGCTTCCTCACGTTCACAATGTGAGACCTTTAGTAGCTAGGCAAGTTAGATACGAATACCACATTTTCGAGCACTGTTCTACAATAATTATGAATTGATTAATAAAGAGATAGTTGAATGCACTTTTGGATGCAATAGCTTATCACAATTTTGGTTCTTTTAAAACTCGTTTAATTTCTTCGCAATTTCGTATTCACAATTGTGCACAGTTATATTTATCCCACAATTATTTATTAGAATGTTTCATTGCAAATAATGAATTCTATCTCGTTACGTATTTGAACGTGATAATAATGTTTATATTACGTAATGACTTTGTAAAATTGCAGTGTATACATATACTTTTTCTCCATTTTTAATTATATTTAACATTATTTGCGTAATGAAAATATTGCAATAAATCGCAAAATGCATATGAAACCTGTTTCTTGTTTCTCAAGTCTGTAATTTTAACAATACTTCTTACAAATTTTCTAAAAACATACACTCATTATACCTGACATTGTAATCGAAAGATTAATAATAGATGTATTCGCGACTCACCAAGAAATCGAGTAAACATGTATTTGTCTTCATAAGCGATTATACGGTAACTGTCATGAGTAAAATTTTCGCTGCGATAATGGAGGCTCACCACCAGTCAACGCTGTGTCAAGCATTTACCACTTTATGTTTATTTTTATTGCAGTAATTTAGGTACAGAGAGCAATATACCCAGTTTACCTGTCGAATAAAATCGCGTAATAACGAAACACACCTGACTCTGTTGTTAATAATAGAACCAGTTATATAGGAGGATTACCTAGTATTTACAGCTGTCACGCTGTTACAAACTGCACCTCCGTATTTCTTGTCCTGTGGTTTCTTTTCTGTACTAATTCTGTATAATATCAGAATACCATAGCTGTATGTTACAAACATATGAAATCTCAAAAATCTGACCTGATGGCGGGAAACGGGCGACGGATTTGAATTCGGCGCGCAAAAATACGTGAAAAAATTCTCTTGTCTTCTCGGGTCCAAGAGTTGACCGATATTTGTAAACCTGTGTAATTTTCCGCGACTTTAAGTTACATGTACTCTACTTTCTTGTCCGGAAGCGGTCAGTTTTGATCTTCAATTTACGTATTTGGAGGATCCCTACCATTCCTTTCTCTCTGGTCACCCCAACAATAGCCACAAAATGTTCTTACTGTTGGGTTAGAATCTATTGATGCCTTTGTACATCTAGGTTTTATGGAGTCCATTTTTTCTACGCAATGCCAGATCTCTGTTATATTTAAAATAATTAATATAATTTTATTTACTGTGTGTGTGTGTGTGTCTGTGTGCGCGATGTAAATGTTTTATCGAGGGGTAAACCGCTGAGTGGTGTACAGATTTGCATTACTGGACATTACTAGGCATTTTTCGAGCACTGTAAAATAAGATAAAATAAAATAAAACAAAATAAAATAAGCTAAAACAATATAAGTAAAATAAAATTTGTCACATAAGATAAGAAGTTAAAGTAATGTCCACTGTGCATTAGTAGGCATTGGTGTACATGATTTTCGTCAGCGGTTTACCCCTCGTATTCGACATATAAATATTCACGTTAACTTTCTATTTTTCTTGTATTATGATTTCAGCATCGTTGCATTTTTATTGAGATTATGTTCACGTCCTGTGCCTATGATCTGTCTTTAAAGGGGTTAGCCTAGGCTATCCTAGGTTAGTCGTAAATGTTTCAATGACTCAATCAGTTATAGTTAACCTCTCGTCCTAACAGTCACTTTTAAATCACGGATACTAAACTTTATGTCATACCAATAATATTTACAGTAAGGATAGACTGGAAGGTAAAAACGTCAATTTATTGAGCTCATGCCGTCAGTCGGACAATAAAACGCATAATTACTACACTTATCACGCGTGATACGTTCCTTTATTACAAATTGTGGGTCTAATGTACACATTTAGTAGTTTATTTTAGTTGTAAAATTTTTGTTTTATAATGTTCTCAATACGTGCTCGAAAATATCAATCACTGACCACATTAGGTTTGAAGCTTACCCTTTACAATAAACACCGACACCGAAACGTCTCGTATAATAATCTCTGTCAGCAAATGAATTTATTCACTTCTTTTGACACATCATCTGCAATAAAATTTCATAAAATTCTATAATCCCTTTTAATTAGAACAACACATAACCGTAACAGAGTGCAAAAGCCTGTAGAAAATGACAGAATTCAAATAATTCTTCAAAGGTTATCATTTTAATGCTATTAAAATGTAATCAACGAAGTCCCTGTCGTAATTAGTAATACATGCAATTTTCATAATTTGCAATCAAAAAATTTTAACCTCAGGGACTTTTCTTTATATCCTTTTACTTGTGTGACTTTTTGTCCGTGACTTTTAGCCCTGTTCCATTAATTTATAAGTTGCATCTTCTATCTATAATTTTATGACCC